AAAATATAAAAAATATAAAATTAATAAAAATGTAAAAATAGCAGATCAATTAGAAATATTAAGTTTAAATTTTCTATTAAAAAATTTTTCATTCTATTAATTGAAACTAAAACAAAATATTATATATATTATATGTATAATATCTAATATCTAAATATCTTTTGAAGCATTTCAAACTTTCAAAAAAAAATGATATTAGATATGAAAAAATATAATATAAATAATCTAATATATAAAAATATAATATAATAATCTAAGTAATAAAAATATTATAATGTATAATTTAGATGCTTTAAAGATTTGAAATCCAAAAACTTGAATATTAAAAAATTTATTTTTTTATTTATACTATTAAATCATATTTAATTCTATTATTGTTTAATTTTATTATTAATATTATGTTTATTCTTTAAAATAAAATTTAAGTATATCCCAAAGTTTCTTTTAATCAAACTATAAACATATTTTATGAATAAAAATAAGAAAAAAATATTATATGAGTTTTTGAAATATTTCATTTAAAAATAAAAATATGAAGTTATAAACAATTTATTCTTGTTCGATATAACATAAAAATAAAATTTTTAAATTTTTTGCCTAGAAATAAATAATTAAATAATTAAAATAAAAGTTTATAGATATAATTGATAAATAAATTGATTTTTTTTTATTTTACATTATTTCTTTTATTTTATTTATTTATAAAAATTTTCTATGAAATTTAAATATTATATAAATTGTATGTTATGAAATATATAGGAATATTTGGATGGAAGAAGTTTAACCAGTGGATCAGGATCTGGATTACCATTATTAGTACAACGAACATTAGCTAAACAAGTAGCATTAGTAGAATGTCTTGGTAGTGGCGGTAATGGTGGATTTGGTGGAGAAGTTTGGAGAGGAATATGGCATGGTGAAAATGTTGCTGTAAAAATATATTTTTCACGTGATGAAGCAGCTTGGGCTCGTGAAACAGAAGTTTATTCTCAATTATTACCATCAAGACATGATAACATTCTTGGATATGTTGGGAGTGATATGACAAGTAGAGCAAGTTGTACTCAACTTTGGCTAGTAACACATTATCATCCAATAGGCTCACTTTTCGATTATTTAAATCGAACACCTCATTCTTTAACACATCATCAAACACTCAATATCTGCTTGAGTATTGTGAATGGATTACTTTATTTACATACAGAAATTCATGGAACAAGAGGAAAACCTGCTATGGCACATCGTAATTTGAAATCTAAAAATATTCTTGTTAAAACTAATGGTAGTTGTGTAATTGCTGATTTTGCATTAGCAGTAACACAAGATCGATTAGCTACAGATAGAATTGATTTGAAACAAGGTACAAAACGATATATGAGTCCAGAAATTCTTGAACAAACGTATGTAATATTTTTTATTATATTATATTTTTCCCATTTACTTTATAGTATTAGGAAAAGATAAGTAACTTAATTTTTTTGAATGAAATTATATAATTTTTAAATTATAAAATTAATAAATTGTTTCCTATAAAAAATATAAAAAATAAAAATATATCATATAAAAAAATATTAATATATTTTTAACAAAATTAAATTAATTATTAAATTTAATAAAATTGTTTTAAAAGATATTTATAATTGTTATAAAAGATATTTTAATTTGAATTTTTTAAGAAATATATCGGATTTAAAAACAAGAAATTCAAATATTAATTTTGATTTCAAGTTAAAATATTTTCTAAACTAATCATGTTTGTTGAAAATAAATTAATATTTCAATACATATCTCTTTTCTATATATATATATATATAATATTATAATAATATCATAATAATATTAATTGATATATCAAATGTTCCATT